ATAAACAGAGGATATCCAACTATTGATACTCGCATGAGACATTTTTAACAGTTGATCTTTCTTGTATACATGTGTATCATACTGGGCAGGTAGGGCTGATTAGGAAACTGCCAAATCACCAGATGTTACAAATGTTACTATTAATCGATGGACAAGATTATAATTAAGAGTAGTAGTTGGGCTGGGAAATATATGGTGATGTTACATAAAACTAACTGGCACATCCAACCAATAGACATTTGGCATTTTTAATTAGGTCACCCATTAATTGTTCACTTATCTCTACATATGGCACCCTCTTGTCATTTTGCTACATCGATCAAGTAGCTACAAATAATATGACACTATGATTAGCCACCTCAATTTTGCACCCAGATGATAAATATGCAAAAAAAAAAAAAAAAAAAAACACAAGGTGGTGCAGTTGGAACATTTTGTCCATGTCTAGCTACCGTATGTGACAGTTCACTATATATGAGAAACAAGAAACAGAGAAGATACAATTAAACAAACACATATATAGTCCACGATCACGACAAGATGACAAGTGTATGATTGTAACAAAACAAAAACAAATACAAATTGTCGTTTGTAAAATAAGAGAGAAATGGATGAGGTAATATAATATCCATCAAGTGCATTAATAATAATCGGGCCAAATCAACTGACGTGTAGCTGTATTAATTATTTTTTTTAACTAACTGGATCCGATTGCAACTTGGAAGAGCAGCAGCATTAATTTGCATAGCAACTGAAGTAGCTAGGGTTAGGCATATATGGCGATGGCAAATTTTGAGTTTGCATTTCTGTACACCATGAATACTATACTAGCTAATCCCGATTCTGAATCATTTTACCGCCTAACTTCCCAAATTTCATGTGAAATAAAACACCTTAGACATCGTGACTCGCGAGAGGTAATAAATCTGTCAATATGCAATCTTTTGCATGTTCATTAAAATTATAAGTATGTGGATATATAGAAGAGAAAATAACGTTATTATTAGTATCGTGAAGATTTGAACATATGATGAGTAAATTTTCTATTGTCAAAGTAAGCTTGATATACAAACTCGTTGGTCTAGAAAATATTTGTTGTTATTACTAGGAGTCTTTGAATTCCAACCAACCAACCAACAATCGTAACTCTTAACCATTACTTGAAATGATATAAAGTGAAATGAAAATTTTCGAAGGAATCACGCGTTAATTGAATGAAACGCGATGCTTTTTTTTTTTGTATGAGTTTACAGTAGATCCATTGGCGGATCCAGGGGGTGGCCACCCCGGGCCCCGACCCAGCCCTCTTCTAGATCCGGAGTTAGAATAATCCTTATAAATTTGTCGGTTTTAGTCATTCAGTTCAGTGTTATTTTATAATATGATTGTGTATAATTAGAAAAATGATTCAGATGAACATATTCAATTCACTACTCTAAATTTATCATAGAAATTCTAGCCCCAAAGGTTTTTCGTCTAAAAAAACAATGAAAACTACAAATCCTAAAGTCTAAAGCGTAAAAGACTAAAAGAAATTTGAGGTTTGTTCCCTTAAAATTTTACTAGAGCAGCATGGTGGATATAGGGATGGACACACAATGCAAATTGATTAGTAAATTGATTTGTCTAGTGTTGATGCTTCTCGTTTCAACAGCTACCACGGAGAGAACCTTTTCAACAATGAAACATGTTAAAACTGATTTGCGCAACAAAATGAGCGATGAATTTCTCGCTGATTGCTCAAGTATTTTATTTGAAACATAGTTGGTATGGATGTAGATTTCATTATTGATGCATTCGATAAATTAAAAGACCGTTGTGTACAATTGACATTGTAAAAAAAACTATAATCATAATAATTTTTTTTTACGATATCGAATTTTCCAATGAAATGCGGCCTAGTGCTCTACTGTGTTCTGGATCCGCCGCTGAGTAGATCGTGTTTAAAGAATAATTTATGGGATACAAAATTATTTTATTTGTGTAAGTGGAGGACAAATATATAGTGCAAAATAAGGTATTGCATAAATGTTGATTGTTTGACGTGAATAATTCACATTGTTCCCATTGATCACCTGTTTTATGCTACAAAGTGTGTTTTCATTACAAATTGATGAAAATTATTGTCCTATATAATCTGAAGTAATTGATCACCTGTTTTGAAAATTAATTTTACAATGACACAAATAAATAATAAACTAGATTGCTTGAATATCTACCAATATCATGTAAATACGTGAATAACAGTAAATTTATGTCAATAAACTAAAAACTATGTAAAGTAAGTGTTCGGGTAAATGCCACATTTGGTCACTGGGATCAAAGCAGTCAAAATCGGGATTTTGATCGTAAAATCGTAGGATTTTAAGATTTTATTTAGGGATTTTGATCCTGAATTTACTATAAATTTGCTAGACCTTAAAATCGTTTAAAATTGTGATTAAAATCGTTAAATCATAAAATCATACCAAAATCAAGATTTAAATTGTATGAGAACAAAATGGGCGGTTTGAGCAAATTTTAAAAAAAGTGGAATTGCTTCAGTGAAAAGGGAAATGATTGGCATCTTCTCAAATATTTTTTCTATTAAAAACCATTTGAAAGTAAAAAAATAAAATAAAATAAAATTAGGGCTTGGTCAATCCCTTTCCTTTCGCCCGGTTGAACTCATCGGTAAAAGTTCTTTTATTCTTAGTTTTAAATCATGATTAGCAGACGATGTTGAAATTAACCAGGCCGAGGTACTACTTTGAGTTAAACTACCTAGACACAACATGAAAAAGAAGAGCTAAGCCTCATGAGCTCTATCATTTCCTCGTGAATTATTTTGAGTTATGCATTAAATTACAATTAAAATGATGATTTTGGAACAATCTTGAGAATTATAATTTTAAATGTTATGTGTCTTTGTGTTATTAAATGATTTACCTTATTAATATGATTATATGTTAGTTTCCATTTGGAGCTTAAAATCCTATGATTTTACAATTCGATTTTATGATTTCGATTTTTCCTCGGTTTTCTATTTTAGGTAAAATTCCGATTATGATCGGGATTACTAAATCGTGTTATGTTTAGTCAGTAGAAAAAATTAATATCAATTTTGGTCACTCGAATTACTAAAACATGTCACATTTAGTCACTCTCCCGTTCGCCTCCGTCCAACTCCGCTCACTCGAATTACTTTTTTTTTTTATGAATGTTACTCGAATTACTAAAACATGTCACATTTAGTCACTCTCCGTTAGCCTTTGCTCAACTCCGTTAATGGAGTTGGGCGGAAACTAAAGGAAGCGTAACTAAATGTGACATATTTTAATAATTCGAGTGACTAAAATTAATATTAATTTTTTTTAAGTGTCTAAACATAACATAATTTAATAATCTCATTGTGTTCATACTTTTTTAAGTCACCAAACCTTTTTTTCCTAAGAATAATTCTGCCACTCGAGCTTCATGCTTGACCGCGCGCTTCATGGGTTACACGTGCACGTGCTTAATGCCTGCTGCGCGCTGGCAGCTCCCTTTTGTTTTCTATTATACAAAAAAGAAATTAATAATAATAATAATAATAATAACGGTCCTTGTTGGCAACGCTGAACTGAATACTACTAATAATAATTGTTTGGTAGCTTTTCACCAAAAAAAAAAAAAAATTGTTTGGTTGCTACTCTCTGACCTGGAGTAGGATTAATTTGACCATCTCAACGCTAATCAACTCAACTCAACTCCTCCCCATTTGCCATTTTCTCTTGTTTCCGCGTAAGACAGATACTGTCTTCTCCATCTGGATGGAATCACTAATTATGAGCATCATCCTTAAGTACAAGAGAATGTTACGAATTTTCAATGACAAAAAGTTCTTCTTTTTCATGAGACCGAATTTTCAATGATTTTGATATTCGTTCATGATATCCTTGATTGCCTCTTGTAAAATTTTCTTTTCTCTCAATGTAATGTGAGAGTCATGCCTTGGAGCGGATTCAATCAATAATTCAATTTACATAATCATCAATAACTCTCATTAATAATCAATGAGAAACAAAATAAATTTTCCAACGATTAATTTTAACAGGGTATATCTCGTTCGTTTCAAGTTGACATCCACTTTGATATATTTTGAAGAAAAAAAATTGAGACATATATTACCCGTCTGAAAAGCAAAGATTTGTCTGGCAATATGATCTGGTAATATATGTGTAAAAGCAAAAATGAAAATTCTCATATGATTTGTTTGGATGTTCCATTTATGAAAATTCAATATCACACATGAATCTTAAAGCAAAGATTCTCAATAGCTAAGAAAATATTTCATGCACTACTATGTACATTCTGTAATAATTTATGATATTTGCCAATAGTGAAGATAAGAAAATATCAATAGCTCATATATATTGATCAATAGCTCATATTTTAGAGGAGTAATAAACCATTGTACAGTGAACCTGCAAGATAGTTTGTTGCATATAATTAAAATACTTGTCGTGACAAAAAGAACCTTTACAAGGTAAAATCCTACTTACCTACTCATTCGACACTAAATTTTCAAAAATATTACCAATGATAACGAAAAAAATCAAACCAGTTAATCAGCATTAGTAAATTAAAAGCAAATCCAAAAAGTCAAATATATGTCACCACATTAGTTTTTGAATTTTCGATCCTAATAACGATTAGCTTGTACAGGTACTACAACCAAACAGCGCACAATTTCTCTGACTCGTTCAGTAGTTTTCTAGAGAGACAAATAAAATAAAAGAAAGACCATTTTTGTTTGGATCATACGAAATCTTCTCCTTTATGAGCACCTAAAATATATTATCATTATTCCATAAAAAAATGCCAAAAAACAGAGAAAAATGAAAGAAAAAAAAACCGGCGTAACATTTTCCTAGATCATTATCTTTCCAATTAATTCGGTTTCTAGAAGGAGAAAACATCGTTAGTAAAATACGGTATAGATAAGTTATGTATAAAATACGTATGCGTATTTTACTTCGTCTCTACATTAATATTATACTTAATAGTATATCAACAATAATAAATATTAAAACTTTTTTTTTGTGAATCGGTGTATTAGTATTTCATCAAAAAGTGGCGTTGGCAACATCCTTGCCAACTAGGAAACAAAACCTGAGAACAAAAGATGAGTCTGTTCTTCTATTCTACCTGAGTAAACCAGAAGAAAACTGATACGCCCCTGGGGGGTATTTTTATCAAAGTTACGCAGCAAACAATCAATCCGACGATTGATTGAACTCGAATCAAGAACAACGCGTTCTTAATACAAGACTTTGATTAATCGAAAAACAAACATTTGGTTTTGTGCAAGTTGCGACTTGTTTGAGTTTGGTGGATTCCAAGCTTGTGAGCTTTGTATCGATTGAATATCCTCTTCAATCGTGGTCTGGGGGTGATTCGCCAGCAATTGTTGATGAAGAATCGTCCAATGTTGTCACAGGAAGCTATCATGACCCTCTAATTTGCCTGGCAATGTCCGAATCACAAATGCCCAATTTGGGATTGAAGCTTGGAGGTGCTGGAAATTTGAAGATCGACGAAGGCGGGAAACGGGAAAGCGACGAATTGACGACAGCTGTGATGATTCGAGGCTCGGGGTCCCTCCGGAACTTCGATTCAAGGCCATCCGCTTCCAATGGTGACCTTGAATTATGCTACAGATCCTTGACCTCAAAAGCCCCAAATTCAAGATCGAATGACATTAACCTAGTTCTTCAGACCTGTGTACTTGAGCAGCCCTTTTCAGATCCTATTTGGAGCCAATTTTGTGAACGGTTCGAGCAGAAGAGGAATCAAGTGTTGAGGGCAACACTTTTTCAAGAGAGGGGGCCTGATATGATCCCATTAGGATCGATATTCAAGCCAGAACGGATTGAGAAAGAAGCCAGCTCAACTACGTGCTATAATGCTGAATTTTTGTTGTGTCCTTTAACTGTTTCAGGTTGCCCAGTTTACACGTCCGGAACGTTTTATTGGCTTGATGGAAATCCGAGTTTGAAGGCTTACTGTGAAGATAAAGTCACGTACTACACCATGGAGTGCTTCGGAGCTCAAACAAAGACCCAGAGCATTGTCTTTCAAGGCCCTCAAAATGGTATGTCACAACTGGGAAATGACCAAAATCTGCCTAAGTCTGGAAACCAGTTTGGGTACCCTACTTTGAAGGTCAATGCGTGCCGAATCAGTGGGACTCGATCCAAAAGGGCTTTGCTACATCAATCTACAAGTTTCATACTACAACGACGGGGCATTGGATGACCGGATCGAAGATTGGAAGGCCTCGAACGAACCTGCCAAAGATCGTGTCGAAGCTGATTTTTTCCTGTCTTTGGATTCAGCAATCTCAATCCTTATCGGAAAGGGATCACTAGGCTGTTTTGAGTTTCAATTCTTTTTCCGAGTTTGTTTGGGTTAATTCGAGTTGTAATTCGTCAAGGACTTCCTTATGAGTTTCTAGGAATTAGTTCGAGTCTATTTAAGTCGAATCTTTCGTTGTAAATTTCAGTTTTATGCATTATTGAATACAGAGTTAGCTTTGGTTCTCCTTGCTTGTTGGCTTGGCGAATTGGGTTGATTTCTTAGGGTTTTCTAAGCAATTGTTAGCTTGTATCGAGCTGCTATTCACGTTGCTCGTGGCCAAGCCTCTACCATAGAGATCGAGCCTTTCTCCCGTGTGAGAATTGCACGAAATCTTCCATCAAAACCTAACTAAAACCCCTGTTTTGTTCGAGGAAGAGTTGTGCTTCCCATCAACTCTCGGCTGCGTCGCTCTGGAATTAAGAGTACCATTTAGGGACTCATCAAAAACAAAAGTAACAGTATGGAAACCAGGAACAAAGGGTTAAGCTAAACAACACCATTGAAACCAAGCTCTGGGGAAAGAAGGTCAAACTAAGAAGCAGCAGCCCAGTATTTCTCCAATAGAACAGGATCCTGCACCATCACCCTTACTTCACTTTGCACTCGAGAGACCAGAGTCTCAGTAGTCTTGCCATTCTCGCCAAATGCTCTTCTATATCGTTCTCTCAAAATATGGCTTATGTGTGATTGCCAAATCAGTCGACCCACCAATGCACAAGGCTTTTTTACCCCAAACTTCCTGGTAGCCCAAAGGAGGTTATCTTCCCAGGACCTAGGAAGGAAAGAAGTAAACTGACCAAAAAGCTGCTTGTGAGTAGTGATATAAAACACACAGGTCGAGAAAATATGATCCCTTGACTCAGCAAGTTGATCACACAAGTAACACTTGTCTGGCCCAGCAAAACCCCATTTTTTCATTTGATCAATTGTTTGTATCTTGTTCCGGATGATAAGCCACACAAGGAATCTGTTCCTTGGAATAGAGGTCCCTGTCCAAAGTAGACTGTACCAGTTCACTCCCCTTTGCTTTGGTCTAATAACCTCCCATACCTTCTTTATCGAATACCTTGGCATAACAACATTATTCCAATAAAGCTCGCTATTGGTCAAGCTAAACAGGTTAGGGACCTTACCTCGAAGCTTCAGCAGCTTCTTCCAATTCCAGGATCCATCTACAGTCACAGTCCAGAAGTCCCTCCCTTTTAGCTTGTAAGCTTGAATCCATGCCACCCACAAAGAACCATGTTGTAACATGATAGCCCAGATCTGTCTAAGCACACAAGCACAGTTCCAAGTTGAGAGGTCTCTTAGTCCAAGCCCACCTTCTTTCTTTGAAACTGCCAAGTATTTCCATGCCATTTTAGCTTTAAGCTTCAGCCCAGGGCCAACAGACCAGAGGAAATTGCTACATATTTTCTCAACTTCTCTTATAACTGTCTTAGGCAAAGTAAAGACAATCATCCAATACTGAGACATGCTGTACAAAACAGCTCCAACCAATTCAACTATGCCTGCATAATTAAGCACCTTTGCTTTCCACCCCCTGCACTCTCCTTGTGATTCTGTCTATAAGTGGCTTACAAGCAATAATTGAGAGTTTTCCAGCCACCAATGGAACACCCAAATATATAACTGGAACCCCTCCCCCCCCAACTGGTAACCATATCTGCTAGCCCTAGCCACCATCTCTACCTTCTCTAATCCACCAAAAAATATCTCACACTTGCTTGGGTTAGACTGAAGGCCAGAAAGCTTATGAAAAGCACTCAAAACTCTCTGCACAAACTGAATACTATAATTTGATCCATCTGAGAAAACTAAGAGGTCGTCAGCAAAACATAAGTGTGTCATCTCAATCTTCCTGCACATAGAATGATAAGGGAATCTCCCCTGCTTTGCTTCCAGATCCAACAAACACGAGAAGACCTCCATAGCCACAGTAAATAAGTAAGGAGAGAGCGGGTCACCCTGCCTCAAACCTTGCTTTGCAGGAAAATAGCCAGCTAGTCCCCCATTAAAAGCAACACTTAGCATAGGGCTAGTGACACACATTTTAATCCAAACAATAAACTGTTCAGGAATCCCCATAGCTTCTAAGTCAGTAAGCAAAAATTGCCAATTCACAGAATCAAACTCCTTCATAAGATCAATTTTGAGAGCTGACCTAGTAGAAATATTATTTCTAGAGTATTTATGTACCAGCTCATGAGCAAGAAGAATGTTTTCCCCTATAACCCTCCCCTTAACAAAAGTTGTCTGATTCTTACTGATAACAAGGGGAAGAATAGCACTGAATCTATTAGCAATAATTTTTGATATGCACTTATAGATTATATTGCAGCAAGAGATAGGTCTAAAAGATTTCATCTCATCATGGTTCTGAATCTTAGAGATCAATGCAAGTATTGTAGCGTTTACCTCTCTAGGCATCTTCCCTACCACAAAACAGTGTTGAACAGTAGAAGTGATTTCCCCTCCAATGGCTCCCCAAGCAGCTAGGAAAAATCTAGCGTTGTACCCATCTGGCCCAAGACTCTTGTCTCCATTAAAGCTGAACATGACGTCTTTAACCTCATCAGCAGTGATAGACACACACAGGGGTGACACCTGAGTAACAGACAACTTATGCCTTAGAAATCCCCTAAAGTAGTCAACTGGCTTCATTTCAACATGGGGGTTAACCCTACCCAACAGAAACTGATAAAAACCCACAGCCACCTGACTCATTTCTTCAATAGAGGACATTTCTTCAATAGAGGACACTGAGATTCCCTGGTCGTTTTTAAGAGAAGTGATTGTATTCCTCTTTGTCCTTGTTCTCATTGATCTATGGAAATAACATGAGTTTGTATCCCCCACCTTTAGCCACAACTCTCTGGATTTCTGCCTCAAAAAGCTTTCCTCAGCCTGAATCAAATCATAGAGTTCATTAGGAACCTTAACTTCAATCTCAAAGCTCACTGAACTTGGGCTAGAGAGAGCATCCAATTGCACTTTAGCCAGTTCCTGCTCCTTCTCCCTCACTCGAACTCTAATATCAGAATATTCTTCTCTATTAAGCTTCTTGAGTAAAGCTTTCAGAATCCTAAGCTCTTTTAAACCCTGATCAAAGGTGAACCATCCACACTCTCATTCCAAGCCTGAGATAGGAGCCCCTCAAAAGTTGGGTGTCCAAGCCAGAAATTGAATATTTTGAATGGTTTAGGGACGGACTTCAAAGGTACATCAGTCTGAACATAAACCGGACAATGGTTTGAAACTCCTGGCACTTGTAGTTGCACTATGCTATGCTTCATCTCATCCAGCCAAGCAAGATTAATGAAAGCCCTGCCCAATCTTCGAGCAATAGGATTTCCTTGCCTCTTATTAAGCCAAGTAAACCATGGCCCCGTTGACTTATGATCCTCAACTCCAATTCTCTTCAACCAGTCATTAAAAGACCTCATACTAGTAGAATAATGGGGACAGTTTGAACCTTCACTAGGATCCCTGATAGCATTAAAATCACCTAACAGAATCCATGGAATCCTATCGACCTTTAACCGAGCCACTTCTGCATATAGAACATCTCTCTGACTTTCACTATTTGAGGCATACACAAAGGTAGCAAAGAAAAGATTCTTCCCTCCAATTAAGACTTGAGCAAACTGATCATAAGTCCCTGTGATAGACAACTGTATCCCAGAACGCCAAACAATCCAGATTTTCCCCAACCCTTCTTCATTGAACAGAATTTCCTGTCCCCAACCTTCAAATCTTTTCTGCTGCAGTTTCTTTGCTTCAATTCTACCTACCCGAGGCTCTAAAATAGCAACAATATTTAAACTAAACTTATTTATTTTATCTAGTATAGCTATGTATTTTTTATCTGCAACAAAACCTCTGGTGTTCCTTGAGAGAATCCTCATTTACGACCCTTTCCTCTACCACCACCTCTTCCCCCTTTCTTCTTGTTATTACCATCCGGAGAGGTCAATCCAAATGCTCGGGGGAATTCTATTCTCCTTATCCAATACTGCAAAACGAGAACCCGTCAGATCAACCCGAGCAGTTATCTTAGGTTGTAAGCTCCCTTCACTTAAAGATGGCTTAGTCCCCACAGATTTTTGCAAAGGTGTGCTAGGGCTCCCAGCCGAAGCTGATGACCCTTTCACAACCTCCGCAAAACTAACTCGAGCCCCCCCCCCCCCCCCCCCCCCCCCCCATTTGATGAAGGAGAGACAGTGTTCTGCGCAACTAATTTGCTAGTCTTAGTATCCTGCATGGCTCGTGTAGAACAAACAGAACCATCCTCTTCAGCCACATGAGACTGATCTATCACCTCATCAGCCAAACTATCGAGAACACTCTGAATGACATTAGCTTGCACCTCGTTAAGAAAAGCCTCAACATTAGCCTCATCATTCTCAACAACGGCTTCTGTGTTCACATTCTCTTCCACCCTCTCCGCTGACACCTCTACTTGAGCATCCACATTAATCTGAGCCTTAGGAACCCACACTTTCTGAGGGCCCCCATCACAATTATGCCCAAACATACTACATCGCTTGCAAACCTGCAGCAAATTACTGTATTCAACTTTAATATCCAACGGAGGATCATCATCTGGGTAAATGCGAATAGAAGACGGGAAAGAGTAATCAGCAGCGAGCTCAACACATGCCCGAGCAAAACCTAATTGACCTCCTACCCTCGTCTTCTGATCCATCCAGAGCGGACGTCCAATCATACTTGCCACCCATTCCAGACCTTCCGGTGCTAAGTATTCAAGTGGGAGACCCCAGATTCTAACCCAAATCGGCAGAGTTTCAACCTTAGGAACAACTGGTTGAATACCTGATTTCCATTTCCGAAAGAAAAACGGATTACCTCTGAAGTGCCATGGCCCCGAATGGAAAACTCAATTGCACGAAGCGGCAGAGGAGAACTGAAACACCAGAAGTTTCGCACCAAATTTGGACACTCGGACGATGCCATACCAGAGAGTTTTGAGAGAAGGAGAGAGAAAAATAAATATTTAAAATTAATTATTAAAAATGAACAAATATATAAATAATAGTTAAGTTAACAACTTAATTCATTGAATATAAATATTAAACGTATTATACGGATTTTATATGTGTTTAGTATGGGAGCGATCAAATAAACCAAAAAAAACGCCTAGACAATATTATTGATACGGAAATTTTAATAAATAAAATACATATGAGTACAATTACGTATATTAAACTGAATATTTACTAACTATGCGAGAAAATGCCGAGAAAAATAAAAATAAAATAGAAAATAGGGAGGAAAAGTGGAAAACAAAAACGAAATGCTTTGGAAAAGTCAACAAAAATGCACGCAGATCTAATCCAGCGAGTCTACGTTCAAAGGGTCGTCCCATTTCCGCCACCTCCCCTGTTCCCTCTTCTTCTTCTTCGTCTTCAGCTACTTCTTCTTCTTCTTCTTCTTCTTCTTCGTTTCCTTCTTCCCATTTTACCTTGAAAAGTCCCCTGATTGGGACGCCGGCGAACCCCTACAAGACCGAAAAAAACCATCTCCCCTTTTTCTCCCAATACTATTCTTTCGCATTTGGTTCCACATTCCTGCCTTCTCCTATTTTTGTCCTTCTAGGACTTCTTCTTCTTCTTCGTCTTCGTCTTTACCCCTTTTATTAATTTCTCTTCTGGGTTTCACGAAAGGCGGAGATATCACAGAACTCCAACACACCCACTACTCAATTTCTTCCCCCCTCTATCTCTTGGCCGGTGTTCATTGATTCTTCCGAAAGATTCCCTGCCTGCCAGGGCGACTCTCCTCTGTCCTCTGTCTTTTCCCTTTTGTCGGATCCTCTGTGCTCGGTGCTCCTCCTCTCTCTCACACGGTCACACCTTCATTTCACCAGGTTTTCTTTCTTCCCCTTCTCTCTCTCT